TTTTCTGGGCATGAATCTAGAGTACTAGGTCTGACACCTATCACATGGCCGAGCCCCATAAACCTCACGGTAAATGGGGACAGGGTCCACCCAGGCAGGCTCTGACCCCTGCCTGTGAAGATATTGATAACCACTCAATTCTCATTTACTCCCTTTCAAGGATACACACTGGGAGGTCTAATTTACTAGTCTATAAATAAGGTATATCTTTAGCATCCCCCTTACGACTCTAGTGCCTGATTACCACTTGCAAAATATCTAGTCATGTTTCTTTACATAAAGCAGACCCCCTGGACTGGAATGGCCAAGATGTGAGGGAGTGAGGGATTGGCTAAAAACTTGTGGCAATTCCATACTTTGCAGCTGAATTAGAATGAGACAGCTTTGTAACAGAACCAACCACAAAGTACTGCAGGCTACAACTACTTTTTAAGAAAAAGAAATTACATAGGAACATCTCTGGTATGTAAATGACCTCTATAAAGGTTAATTCTTTCATGAAGAGCAGATTATAACTACTTATTTGTTGGAGACTTTAAGCACAGCCAGTTTTATGCCTCTTAAAGCCCTTTTTGCCAAGGACCTATCTTCCCTGGGCCTGCCTCCACAGCAGACACATACTGCAAAGACGCCAGATTTCTTTAAAAATAATTTATTTTGATCACAAAATACAGGGAAGGAGAAAGTGCAATGCCTGTAACCCCTTGGCTGCACATCTTCCCAGTCTGCGCATGTATAAATACCCCTTGTACAACACCAGGTTCACACCATCCCCACAAGGCTTTTCTTGCATTCTAACAGCTGCAGAGTATAGTATTTAACCATGTGGAAGTTTAAACAAATGTCTCATCTACCACGTAGAGCTCTTCTCCAATTAAGTGTTCCAGCTCACTTCTGTAAATACTGAAACTGAACTTATGGAAAGGACTTCTTAAACAGGAGCAGTGCCTAAGGCCCGTTCTTTGTCCCTAGCTCCCTAAGTCCCACGCTGCCTGTGGCACCTGGACAGCTGCCCCTGGATCCCCCACATCCCAGGGAGGCGATGGAGGAAGGGTAGGCCAGGCCAAGCATGAGAAATAAAAGTCTTTATTGGGCTCACACGAGGAGTCCGTGGGTCTTGAGGACCTCTGTGTATTTGTCAATTTTCTTCTCCACGTTCTTTTCGGCCTGTTTCCGTAGCCTCTGTGGGGACAGGACAGATGGTGGCTAATGGCTGCTGCCTGGAACCGCCCTCATGCCATGGACCCCACCCCACCCTAGGCTGGGTCTTAGGCAGTTGTCAGAGCCTTCTCGGGGCAAGACATCACCTACCAGGCCCACCCAGGAGGATGGTGCCCACTCAGTGCCAGCCCCTGCCCTCACCATGAGCTGTTTTTTTTTTCGGTAATGGATCTTGGCCTTTTCCTTCCTCTTCTCCTCCAGGGTAGCTGTCACTGCCTGGTACTTCCAGCCAACCTCATGAGCCAGGCGTCCCAGGTAGGCAAACTGGGAGGGAATGAAGTTATAAGGATACGTAAGCCCCCTACCGCCAGAAGTCTGGACCAGGGCCAGGGTGGCCACAGGGAGAGTGAGGGGTGGTTGACAGCTGCCCCAGAGGATCCTGGGAACTTTCTCTCAAGCCCAAGTTAGAAAAGGACACACCCATCCCATGTGGGGGTTTTCCCCTCCTCCTGGCATCAGCTGAGCCATTGGCACTATCGGCACTGCCCACAGTGGCATCCGCAGACCATCGTGAGAAAAAGACATCATCTGCCATTTCTGGGGACCTCAGGTTCACCCAACAGGTCTGAAAACCCCAAATTGGACCACTTAGTTGGAACTTACCTTTCTCGTAGGCTTCAGCCGCACAACCTTGAGGGCAGCAGGAACCACCATTCGCTTTTTCTGTTAGAGAAGGAGAGGGGCTTAGAGACCTGGAGTGAAGGATACACAGGACAGGGAAGGAGGCTGGCTGGGTGGGCGTCTCAGTCAGTGTTTTTTTCATGAAGATCAAACAATGTAGGTAATTGTTGAACATCACGGACGCTGAGCACATGGATACTGCAATGGGGGGCTTGGTACTGCAGCTTACCTTGTCATAGGGTGGTGGGATCCCATCAAACACCTTGAGGCGGTCCAAGGCAGCCTGGCCTCGCTTTGTCTTGTGGGGCAGCATACCTGTGGGCAGAGGGAGCCAGGCCTGCTCAGTGGGGCTCATGAGGATGCCCATCCTCTCCCCTCATCAGGCAGGCAGATGGGTGGCCTCAGATGGTAGTGCATGTAGAGTCATCTCATTGTAGGGAAACTCGAACATTAGTGGGAGAAATCCTCATCACTGGCCGCCCACCTAGCACCTCCCGCAGCCCTCAGGGCCAGCTCACCTCGCACAGTCCGCCAAAAGATGCGGCTGGGGGCCCGGAAGTGGTAGGGGCCACGGGATGGGTTGGTGTTCATCCGCTTGCGGAGAAAGGCCAGGTACTTTACTGGAGAAGGGACAGCATGTGAGGCCTGCTTGGTCTGTCAGACCTACCAGTCTCCAGCCTAACCCTAAACATCTTCCGCACAAAAACCCAAGCTTCCAAGAACCTGTTCAGGAGCTCAACCTAGTACCTCCTTATCAATGCTGGAACTGCTTTCAGAACCCACAAGCCTTTGCCCTCACAGGAAGACTCTCTCCAGCCCTCTTCCCAGGCCCCAACTTACACTTGTTTCTGTAGAAATTGCCCGAAATGTTGATGCCCTCACAGCGCACAACCACCACCTTCCGGCCTACAGCGAAAGCAAGGCATTAGAAGAGGGAAAGGGTTAGGAAGGGCAGACAGTGCCACTTGAGGCTCTACCTCTCTCTGACACAATCCACCTGTCCAGTCACTAACAGGAAAGGGGGACACCCCCCCCCCTACCGGCGTGCAACTGACCACAGTGCACAAGAGCCTCTTACTCCAAGTCAAAGCAGTAATTGACAAAGCTGGATTCATGCTTAAATTAATAGCTAGGCTGACAGAAAGTCAATTCTCAGCCAGGAGCCTCCAAGCCTGGGTGAGGCGGTGGCTAGTAGGTCTCAGAGCGGTGCATGGGTTGATCTCATGGTCAAGAAACTCAAACGAAAGATGGTGATTGTTGCTCATCACTGACCTCCAGCTGCAGCTAACGACAGGGGAACCTTGGGCAGGAAGACTTACCCAGCAGTACTTGCTTGGCCACAATGGCGGCCAGGCGGCCGAGGAGATGGCCTCGGCCATCGAGTACCAGGACCTGTGCAAGACAAGGAGAGATATTCAGAGGCACTGACTGCCTTTCTGTGACTCTCCCCACAAGCAACCATTACTTCTTTTTTCTGTTCCACCTTACTTCCAGAGTTGCCTCCAGCTATCAGACCTGTGAACTATGCCCCCAAAGCCCACTGTACAGATGAGAAAACTTAATGCTAGGGCCGGCCGTGGCTCACTAGGTAGAGTGCGGTGCTAATAACACCAAGGCCCCGGGTTCGGATCCCACATAGGGATGGCTGGTTCGCTCACTGGCTGAGCGTGGTGCTGACAACACCAAGTCAAGGGTTAAGATCCCCTTACCTGTCATCTTTTAAAAACAAACAAAAAAATTATACTCTATTCACTGACCTCCCAGTCAGAATAAACTGATCTGTGATACAAACTGTAGGACACTAACAGAATCGGATTCTTCTCTAACATGAAAGGTGTAGTTTCTACCACGCATCCTGGAAAAACCAAGTTTCAGACTGGATGATGTTAACCCATGCTGGCTCTGCTAATGACTGGCCCTGCATCCCTAAGTAAACTGCTCAAGCACTGATCCTCAGCTGCCTCATCACAAGTGTTAAGTCCCCATTATTACAATGTAATGAAGTGTATAATGGTGAACTCTACCACTTGCCTAGGTCTGTCTGGCTCCGAACTTGGGTTATTCCCCCCTCAATCACAGACCTAGCAGACTTCAACAAGGAAACCCTTTCCAGAGGCATCCAATCCTCTATGTAAAAAAAGGTACACTACGAGCTAGGGAACTGGAGCTAAGTTTCTGCTGTGTTCCCCGAAGGTTATTCCCCCCTCAATCACAGACCTAGCAGACTTCAACAAGGAAACCCTTTCCAGAGGCATCCAATCCTCTATATAAAAAAAGGTACACTACGAGCTAGGGAACTGGAGCTAAGTTTCTGCTGTGTTCCCCGAAGGCCTCCAGGTGTTTACAAGGGAAAAGGATATCCTATACCTGTGGAACAATTTTCCACAGCCTTCTGCTTCTAGCAAAGACACGCTTTCAAGGCATCCACCAACCCCAAAAGCAAGGGAAAAAGAGCAATTTACTCCTGAATGCCCCGTAGGCAAACACTCTCAGCCCACTGCAGAAAGGGATTTCGTATTAAAATGCCCGGAGCTGTAGGGAACCCTGGTTAGCACTCCCACGTGAAACTGAAGGAGCCGCGCCTTGGGCAAAATGAAAATAACTTCCATTTTGGCCAACCCTCAGTTTCTCACTGCCCCAAGGCCGTCCGGCCCGAATCCCGCGTGTCCCCCATCGCGGCGGACACACAAGAGTCCAATTTGGCCCAGACCTGACCCCAGAGCCCTCATCCACCACCCGAAATCAAGGTAAGCGGGGTCTTGTAAAATGCCTCTTCCTGTGCTGGAAGCTCCCGCCATCACCTCTAGCCCCGAGGAGGAATACGTGCCGCACTTTAGCCTTCCTTAGGCCTAAAGACAGCCCCCATTTCTCCTACGCCCACGTTAGAGTCCCCTTACCCCAAGAGATTTCCATTTTGCTCAACTGTCACTCTTAAGTTTCACAACAGACGTAGGGCAGGATAGAGGGTCAACCCCATTTTAGCCTGGACCCCACCCGGCCACGCACTGCCCCGACCCGCGCGGAGCCCGCACCTGCCCCTCCGCCATCTTCGGCAGCCGCCTGGGAAAGAAGGAAATGTAGGCACAGGGTTTCTTATTCCTTGAAAGAGGGGTGGAGGAAGTGACGCAACAGGGCTGCGGAGGCAGCTTTCCCACTTTTCATTGGCCGAAGTGTTTGCGCGTGCCCAGAGATGGCCCCTGGGAAGGCGGGTCTTCTTCTAATTGCCCAATCCGGGTATCGTTCCAATTGGACCTCGGCGGCAGGGGCTGTGCGGGGCGAGAGACGCCGTCGGGTGTGGAGGCGGCTCTGCTGCGGCGGGGCTGTCCAGCTTCGCGGCCATAGGTTTGAGTGACTCTGTTTTACTTGATCTGTCCGCCATGTTTGTGAGGAGAAGCGCCATTATATATGCAAGTGACGGAAGGCAGCAGGCACGTGGTGGCGCGCAGGGGGAGACCACGCCCGCCCGCCCGCCTCCCTTCAGCTCTGTCTAGGCTTAGAGGTCTGCAGTCCTTTACCTCGTCGGCCTCGTTGTGACCGGGACAAACCCCTGGCTTTATCTAGGGGCCCTTAGTGGCCCCACCTGTAAAACAGGTGGAGGTAGTTTTCCTTATGAGATCTAAGAGTGGACGAAGGAATGACTTCCAGAGGCTTGGGCTGCACCAATCTAATGAGTGTTCCCCGAAGAAACTTACCGCTTTCTGGACTTTTTGCTTCGGCCGTTTCCCTTGCCTGGGATGCTCTTTCCACCCCGTCCACCCCATCCTACTCCAAAATCTGGCTTGGCACAATCCCAGTGTCCTTTGGCTCAAGAGTCCTTTCCTCCAGAGAGCCTCTCTGATATCCCAGCCTGAGTCAGATGACTCCTTGGGGCTTCCACATTGCCTGTACTACCTCCATTGAATTGAGTGTCATCCTGTACTGAGGCTCTTTGGGCCAGGTGTCTTCTCCATAGACCAGGAGACCCCTGGGAGGACTGGGCTAGTTCTGGCCCACATCTTAGTCCTAGCATTGCCGAGCACTGGCCCTGGGCCCCAGAAGGCCTCAGAAAACACATATTGAATGAAACATTGCATTAACTGAAAAACCAAGGGTCTGAAACCAAAACTGCACCATCCACATCCTGTCCCATCCACAGACAGGCCTGGCCAGAGCTGGTAGAAAAGGATGATTTATATACAATTTCATGGAGACAAGGGCTTTGTACAGAGGAGGGTAAGTGGCGCCCATGCTGTATTCTGGTGTTGCCTTCATCCTGGTGAGAGTGCGAGAGGGGCAGTGGAGCCAAGGAAGGGCCCAGCCTCTAGCACACTTCCTCCGTGTCCCAGCTGTGTGTCCTCTGGCAGGTGACTCCCCTCTCAGGGCCTCAGTGTCCTCCTCTGTAAAATGGGATGATAGATGCATTTGATTCACTGGGCTGTTTGAGGATCGTGAATGGAAGAGAGGAAAAGTACTCAGCCCAGGGCTGGGCACAGACTTATGTCCAAAACAACCCCACTCACAGTGAGCACACACTATGTGCTAGAGCATCGCTGTCTAAGAGAACTCTGCAATGATGGAAATGTTCTCTATCTTTGCTTTCCAATATGGGAGCCACCAGCCACAAGTTCAAATGTGGCCAGTGCAACTGAGGAGCTGAATGTTTTTTTTTTTGGTTGCTGGCCTGTATGGGGATTCGAATCTGTACCCTTAGTGATTCTCTATCTTTGCTTTCCAATATGGGAGCCACCAGCCACAAGTTCAAATGTGGCCAGTGCAACTGAGAAGCTGAATGTTTTTTTTTTTGGTTGCTGGCCTGTATGGGGATTCGAATCTGTACCCTTAGTGTTATAGGGCTGTGCTCGTAACCAACTGAGCTAACTGGCTAGCCCCTGAATTTTTAATTTTACCTAATTTTAACTAATTTGAATTTAAGAAACTAAAATGTGGGCCGGCCCGTGGCTCACTTGGGAGAGTGCGGTGCTGATAACACCAAGGCCATGGGTTCGGATCCCATATAGGGATGGCCGGTTTGCTCACTG